ATGTGCCGGGGCTGACCAGCAGCCCCTGAACGACCGATGAACAGGTGACTCAGACACAGTTTGACTGTGAAAGCGAGGGCTAAGAGGCTCCTGGCTCTAGCAACCAAGGCAGTCTCCATTGCCTGCCTGGTTAGGCTTTTACTGAAATTTTTATCTTTAGGTATCAGTAGGGTGAGTAATCTTGAGAGCACACGTGTGTTTACATTGTCCTCCAGGCATCAAGCATAAGGATTCCAGTAAACACCCGGGGGTGTGCACCTGCAGACTTGTTTGGAAAGGTCAAGGAATAATTAGGAGCACCACCATTGACACTTCCCCAAGTCTCCCGGAAGTCAGGATTCCAATAAACAGGGCAGGCTGCCTTCCACACACATCCCTCTTATCAGAATGTCCTCCTTACAAACTTTCCAACCAAGTCTCGTGCTTCCCAACAAATATGATTATATTTCCCCAGAAAGATGACTTGTCCATGATGATTACTTCCACAATATGCGTAGGACATTTCTTCGAATACATTACTGGCTTAATAATCTGTAATATCTGATATAGAAACCTAACCACCACTTTAAAAAAAAAAAAATTGGGGTCATGAACTGAGAAAAATTGAATTTTATTTTATTATAAATTTATTTTTATTGTTGGAAGTATTACATATTCTTTTTCTTTCCCATTGACCCCCTCCACGCTGCCTCCCCCACCCTCAGGCCTTCACCACACTATTGTCTGTGTCCACGGACTATGCATATACACAAAAATTCTTCAGTTAATCTCTTTCTGGCTCCCTTGCTCCCCTATTCTCCCTTCCCTCTGAGAGTCATCAGTCTGTTTCATGCTTCTATTGTCTCTGGATCTGTTTTGTTTGCCAGTTTATTTTGTTCATTATATCCCACATATAAGTGATATCATGTGATACTTTTCCTTCTCTGACTGGCTTAGTTTGCTTAGCCTAATACTCTCCATCCATGCTGTCTCAAGGGGTAAGAAACCCTTCTTTTTTACTGCTGCATAGTATTCCATGGTGTAAATGTACCACAGCTTTTTTATCCACTCATCTGCTGATGGGCACTTAGGCTGTTTCTAGATCTTAGCTATTGTAAATTATGCTGCTATGAAACATAAGGATGCATACATTTTTTCTGATTGATATTTTGGCTTTCTTAGAATCTACACTAATAAAAGAGAAAAATGCTAATTGACCATACCTTAGCTATGCCCATAGCCAATCATAGCAAGTATGCAAATTAACCCAACAAAGATGGTGGTTAATTTGCATATACTGGGGGAGGGAGGAGTGAAGACAGCGTAGGAGGAAGAGGAGGGAAAGTGGAAAGCAAGGTAGTTGCCAGAGGGAAAGCATGGGCAGAGTGAGTGGCAGTAGCAGCAGCTTGGCTGGACAGGGTGGTGTGCAGGACACAATGGCAGCAATGGTAGCAGCAGTGGTGGGTGGGGGGGCCAAGCTGGTGGCAGCTTGCGAGGTTGTGGTGGTGGCAGTTCGAGAGGCAGTGGTGGCCGCTGGCAGGAATCTTCCTGCAGTGGGCTCCGAGTATGTTCATAAAAGTGGGATCACTGGATCAAATAGGAGTTCCATTTTTACTCTTTGAGGAAACTCTATACTGTTCTCCACAGCGGTTGCACCAGCCTAGGTTCCACCAGCAGTGCATAAGGGTTCCCTTTTCTCCACATCTTCGCCAGCACTTGTCATTTGTTTATTTGTTGATAATAGCCATTCTGACAGGTGTGAGGTGGTCTCTCCTTGTTGTTTTGATTTGTATCTCTTGGATGATTAGTGACTCTGAGCATTTTTTTCATAATTATCTTAGCCTTTTGTATGTCCTCTTTGGAGAAGTGTCTATTTAGGTCCTTTGTCGTCCATTTTTTATTGGATTGTTTGTCTTTTGTTAAGTTGTATGAGTTCTTACATAATTTGGGTATAAAACCTTTATTATATGTATCATTGGCAAATATGATCTTCCGTACACTGGGCTCCCTTTTCATATTGATGATGGGTTTTCTTTGCTGTGCAGAAGCTTTTTATTTTGATGTAGTCCATTTGTTTCTTTTGTCCTTAGATTTCCCTTGCCCTAGGAGAGGTATTCACAAACATATTGCTATGAAAGATGTCTGAGATGTTGCTGTCTATAATTTCTTCTAGGAATTTCTTGGTTTCATGACTTAACATTTGAGTTTTTATCCATTTTGAGTTTATTCTTATGTATGGTGTAAGTTGATAGTGTAGTTTCATTTTTTTGCATGTATCTGTCCAATTTTCCCAACACCTTTATTGAAGGGACTGTCTTGACTCCATTGTATGCTCTTGTCTCACTTGTCAAATAATAATTGAGTTTAATGTCTTGGGTCGATTTCTGGGGTCTCTGTTCTGTTCCATTGGTCTCTGTGCCTGTTCTTATGCCAGTACTGGGCTGTTTTGATTACAGTGGCTATGTAGTATAACTTAATAACTGGTAATGTGGTCCCTCCAATTTTCTTCTTTCTCAGGATTGCTATAGCTATTCAAGGTCTTTTTTGGTTCCATATAAATTTTTGGAGTATTTGTTTTATATCTGTACTAGTAAAATATACCATTGGCATTTTAATAGGAATTGCATTGAATCTATAGATTGCTTTGGGTACTATTTTAATTATGTTGATTCTACCAATCCATGAACATGGTATATTCTTCCACTTCTTTATCTCCTATAGTTTTCAGAATATAGGCATTTTACCTCTGTGGTTAAGTTTATTCCTAACTATTTAAAAAAAATTTTTTTTTGGTTGCAATAGTAAATGAGGTTGCTTTTTTATTTACCCTTTCTAAGAGTACATTATTGGTGTATAAAATTGGCATTAATTTCTGGTTGTTAATTTTTTATCCTGCTAAACTGCAAAATTCATTTATTGAATGAATTTTTTTGGTGGAGTCCTTAGGTTTTTCTATGTACAATATCATGTCATCTGAGAATAATGATAATTTTTCTTCTTCCTTTCCAACTTGGATGCCTTTTATTTTTTCTTCTTTTCTGATTGCTGTGGCTATGTTCATCATGGATATTGGCTTGTAATTTCCTTGCTTTGTAGTGATTTTATTTGTTTTTGGAATTGGAATAATGCTGCCCTGGTAAAAGTAGCTTAGAAGTGTTACTTCCTCTTGGATTTCTTGGAATAGTTTGAGAAGGATAGGTCTTAGTTCTTCTTTGAATATTTTGTAAAGCTCTACTGTGAAGCCAGCAGGACCAGGGCTTTTGTTTGCTAGGAGTAATTTTATTATTGCTTCAATATCATCAGTTGTTATCAGCCTATTCAGGTTTTCTGCTTCTTCCTGATTTGGTTTTGGAAGAATGTATTTTTCTATGAATTTGACCATTGTGTCCACTTTGTGCAACTTGATGGCAAATACTTGTTCATAGCATTTTCTTACAATTCTTTGTATTTCTATGGTATCTATGGGAGCTCCTTTGTAGGTAACAAATTGCTTTTCTCTTGCTGCCTTTAAGATTCTCTCTTTGACTTTAGTTTTTGGGATTTAATTATTATGTGTCTGGGTGTTGACCTATATGGATTCTTCTTGCTTGGGGCTCTCTGTGCCTCTGGAAATTATGTGACTTTTTTTTTTTCCCCAACCAGATTAGGGAGGTTTCCTGCCATTATTCTTTACACAGATTCTCTATTCCTTGCTCACTTTTTTCACCTTCTGGCCCACCTTTTATGTAGCTATTGTTATGTTGTCCCACAGCTCTCTTAAGCTGTCCTGTTTTATTTGTTTGTTTGTTTTTGTTTTCTTTTTGGTTTTCTGATTTAGTGATGTTTGATTACCCTGTCTTCTAATTTGCTTATCTGATCCTCAGTGTCCTCTAACCTGATGTTTATTCCTTCCAATCTATTATTTGTTTCTGCTATGTCATTCTTCATTTCCAACTAGTCATTTTTCATACTTTCTGTATCTTTTCTCATTCATACTTATAATCATTGCTCTGAACTCTGTATCTGATCATTTGCTTGTCTCAATTTCATTTATCTTCTTCTGGAGATTCCTCTTGTCATTTCATTTGGAACTTGTTTTTTGTCTCCCCATTTTGGCTGCCTGTTTGGGTTTTTTCTGTGTTTTAGGAAGATCTGCAAGGGCTCCCAGGCTTTTTTGGGAGGGTAAAGAGGGGTCTCTGGTGTAGGCCAAAGTCAGGTGCTATTTGTGACTGGCCCTAAGTACCCTTTTTGGAACTCTCAGTGATCCACAGCTGTGGCTCCCTCTGGTGGGCCCAGTGCATCTGGAAGGCAAGAAACCTCTTTACTTTTATGTAAATCCGAAATACATGTTTCCGCTTTTTAAATAATCTACATAGAAAATAATTTATGGACACAACTAATTGGAAACTACTTAGGCTTTACATTAGTAAATGTCAAGTTTGAAAGTTCTGAAAGGATGGGTCATTTTTTAAGTGCATCAGAGTAGATCATAGAGCTACTCTAATTTGTGTAATTTGTGTTAAGGAGACTATAATTGCATTTTCCTTTTTAGTTCAGGAGCACTTTAACTTTTTTTTTTCTTTTCTTTTTTTTTTTTTTTTTTTTTTTTTTTTTTGTCTTACTCCTCTCTGCTGCATCTTTAGCAATTTAGCAATGCAGGTTATACTTAACGTGTGAAGGCTGTTTCTGCTCTCTCCCTTTCCATAGCAGGTTTGAAAATCCTAAGGAAAGGGCTTTTAAGTTTTAGTCCTCTAATTGTATAAAAGGTAGGAAGCATTAAGAAGCTCACTGAAGGGTTGAATTGTGCTACAATTTGTTTTCTGTGGTTTGAGTTGAGAAGAACCATAAACGGGTCAATGTTTGGCATTGGTCACATGGCTGTCTTCGTACTTAAGCCCGCTCTGATCCCTTCCTATCGGCTTATCTCTCCCAGGCGTAAGACTCTGAACTGTCAAAGACGAATGGTGTCTACATGCTAAGGACGTTTTGAGATCCTACCATGAACAAGCGATGTAGGAATTTTCTTTTGAATTTTATTCCAGAAATTTCTACCGCAGGACCCTTTGGCATGGGAAGCACCACCACCAGTACCACCCTTCGCACCACGACGTTGAGTGCCGCCAGGAGTACCACCCCGTCACTATCCGGGAGAAGGAACCGGAGTACCAGCACGCCGTCGCCAGCTGTGGAAGTGCTTGATGACACCACCACGCACCTGCCGTCCGCGCCATCCCAGATCCCAGCTCAGGAGGAAAGCTGCGAGGCTGTGGAAGCCCGGGAGATCCTGTGGTTTAAGACCCGTCAAGGACAGACGGCAAAGCAGCCGTGCCCCACGGGAACCATAGGTAAGTCTGTCCTGTGGAACGGGGCTAAAGATGTGTGGCTACTTTGGCTTGCCTTTTAAGCGTTTTGTTTTTTGTGCTTTTTTTTTTGTGTGTGTGTGTTGTGTTTTTTTTTTACCTCTCCTTTTTGGTACTCAGCAAAATGACAACTTAATGAAGTGTATTTTCAGAGTTTCAAAATGCATTCTGAAGAAGGAACAGGGGAGACTTTGATGAGATCAGTACTTTTCATCCGTAGTGTGCAGTTGTTTCTGGGTGAAGTTACACTTAATACATGCGGGCCATGAATGTCCCTGCTACCCCCGAGAGGCAAGTTCTTATGTGTGTGTGCGTGTGTGCGTGTGTGTGTGTATGTGTGTGTGTGTGTGTGTGTGTGTGTGTTTTCCTTAATGAGAGAGACACCACCAATGAGAGAGGGAGATTTGTTGTTCCACTTATTTGTGCATTCATTGGTTGATTTTTGTGTGTGCCCTGACCAGGGAATCAAACCCACAACCTTGGCCTTTGAGAACAATGCTCTATCCAGCTGAGCTAACCAGCCATGGCCACAGCAGCTCTTCTATGCAGCGGCCCAGAGAGAAACCACTGGAATGCCAGCCGGGCCAGGGCTCGCGCTCACTGTTGTCACCAGCCTCAAGTGGTCATTGCAGAAAGAGAGACTGAGCACTTCTCTGTTAGAAGACAGTCATTGAAACTACCTAAATTTTAACAAAAGAGAAGTCTGACTATTTTTTTTTTACCAATCATTGTAGCTGTCCTTTAATAGTCAAAGGCTCAACAAGAGCAATCTGGCATTTTCTCTAAGGGACAATTAAGAACTACACAGCTCTTTCCACCTTTTTTTACTGATAAGATTCATAATATCCTCAAGAGGTAACCATATGATTCGTTCAATTTTTAAACCAGAAATGGCTTGACTTTCTTATTGTTACATACATTGATCTTCAAGAAATTTTTCTTAATACAATGAATAAAATTTGCATTATTCATAAGGTGTGTAAATGAGGCAAACACACAATAGATGTCACTATAGTAGCATTTTGTGTTATTGATTTGATTACTTTAAGGAATCACGTTTCTCTGAGAAAAGTTCCATGGTATATAAACTAATTGGAAGGCCAGAGGTATCTTGGTTTTTACAAGAGTTCCGTTTAATTTTATTTTTCCCATAAAGTGTTTAAAAACTATTCAGATGTCTATCTTCTGAATAGTTTTTAACACTTTATGGGAAAAATAAAATTAAACGGAACTTTTGTGCCTTTATGAAGCGGGGTGATGTTTAGTTCTAAAGCCTTGTGTGGCAATGGAATCAGAAAACACTCCTAGCCTTGTCCCATTAGTTCTGAGGACCCACTGATAGTATTACAAACCCCTACTTCTGGCGTTTGTTGTAAAAGTTAGTGAAATACTTTATTTAAAAGCACTTTGAAAACCTGAACTGTGTCCTCATTGTTCTGTGAAAACTGGGAAAGAGATTTAAAGGAAGCCTTCTGCAGCTCTCCCACCTGACTGTGCCTACACCGAGCTCTTATTTTTTACCTTTCCTCTGACCCTCCTGCTGTGCTGCTGTTGGGGCCCACCCAGTCTCTCACTGGAATTATTGCAGCCCCCTCACAACCTCCACATCTCTCCCTCAAACTCATCCTCCGTGAGGCTGCCACCGTGGCAGTTCTAAAACCTTAATCAGCTCATTTCTCTCATCTGCTTAATGACCTTCATTGATTTTCCCAGCACCCACACAAGACAGACAAGGGAGTTGATGAGCTGGCTTTGCCTACTTCTCCAACTCCATTAGACAATGCCCCTATCCTATAGGCCTCTGTTCAAAACACTCGAAGCCACCTAAACTCAGCATATTTTTCCTCCATTTTCGGTGAACGCCCTTTCCCACGTTAGTAAAAAAAAAAGAAAAAGAAAAAACAACCCTGCCAACTGGCCAACTGATTTTTGTAAGATTCAGTTGTTCCATTAGCTCTGGAAAGCAAGTAGTCGGCTCCCTGGAGACAGGGACCATATCTATCTAATTCATGGAGTATTTCCCCTACCTGGCATAGTTGCCAGCGAGTGCTTTAAAAATATTGAATGTTTTTTTGTTTGTTGCATTACATTTCTCCCTAACCAGTCGCTTGCCAGGTACTGGGCATAGTGTTATAATAGAAATTATCTCAGTGTAATGATCTCATTTTTACTTTTGCTTATATTACAGCATAGCATGGATATACAGTGCTGGTAGGAAAATGATTTGAATTTCTAAGACAGACCTATTTCTCTCATTATTTTAGGAGTATCAACATATCTATGCCTGGCTCCGGATGGAATCTGGGATCCCCAAGGACCAGATCTTAGCAACTGCTCTTCCCCTTGGATCAACCACATCACACAGAAGGTAAATCACGTGACCTGCAAGGAAGGTCTGCCAAACCTGGACCCTGTGTTGTTGATCATAACTGCTATAAACAGGAGTCAAGATTACCAAAAAAAAAAAAAAAAAAAAAAAGTTGAAAGAGTCTCTCAATTTTATTTAATTTAAGATTGAATGTCAACATCTGAACTAATTCTGGAATTTTCCTGTTCTTGAAGGGTAACTTTGAGATCTTCTAAGCCAAGCAGTACTACTACTAATAATTTTATTACTTTTTAAATATATATTTTATTGATATTTTTACAGAGAGGAAGGGGGAGGGATAGAGTTAGAAACATCAATGAGAGAGAAACCTCAATCAGTTGCCTCCTACACACCCCCGCAACTAAGGTACATGGCCCTGACCAGAATCAAACCTGGGACCTTTCAGTCCATAGGCCGATGCTCCATCCACTGAGCCAAACGGTTTCGGCTAATAATTTTATTATTAACTTGGAGGCCCAGTGTATAAAATTTGAGGTCCCTCAACCTAACCTTTGCCCTCTTGCAGTCCCGGACCCCTCACTCCTTACTGCCAATCTGCTCACTGCTCCTTAGCGCTGCCTTGGAGGTAAAAGACCTCTCACCTCCTCCACTCTGATCCCCAGCTGTGATCCCAGCTTCTGGCTGAGCAACGCTCCTCCTGTGGAAGTGCACTGACCACCAGAGGGCAGCTTCTGTGTTGAGTGACTGCCCCGTGGTGGTTAGCGAGGTCATAGTGACCAGTAGTTCCTCCATTCAGTTGATTTGCATATTAGGCTTTTATTATATAGGATACAATTTCTGAGGTATTGTGAACTGCAGATAAAAAGTCCAAGAGATATTATAAATCAAGCAAGCAAAAGCTTATAACATACATACACAGAGATTTTCCTGTGGAAATAAAAATTACAATAAAAACAGTCTACCTTTGGAATCCTAAGCTGCTTGATAAATGTTCTGTAACCTAATCATTTATCAGTGTTAAAAGTGTACACACACGTGACAGCCTTTTGCAGACTCTAGTTTGCAGAGCTTATTGGGTTGCAATATGTCGAACATTTTTATTATTAATGCACTGTGGGGCTTTGCATTGATTTCATTACAAACAGAGACCAGATGTGCATTTATGCCAAAAGGACTATGGGATGAATCCTTATTACAGCAATTTGTGTGAATTTATGCACTCCCAACATGGAGAGACCTTCCATGGCGCATTAGCTATGCTAAGGAATTTCTGAAAGAGATTTTTTTTTTCCTGAGAAATATTACAAATGATGGCCTTCCTAAAAGCCTGCCTGTGCCATTTGCTCTTTCCTCTATTTGTTTTTAACTAGGCTGATCCTCAATAATAGACTGTATAATAACCCATAAATATCTTACCCAGCAGATCATTTAGCAGATGAGCCATAACTATCTATTTACCCTAAATCGCGGAAGAACAGTGGTCACATTGACTGTAGTTACCCTCTTACATATGCATCTCCATCCTTGTTGCTATTCATAATGATGCTCCTCCAATTTCAGCACTGTTCCTGCCACCGTTTTTATGTCCTTTGATTTTATGGCAGCGTAGCTCAGACCCCGGGGTGAATAGCTCTGGCCGGCTGTGATCAGATTAAGAGTTCAGTAGCCTATCTCCCCACATTAGCGTCTTTTAAAAAATACTCCCCGCATGCTTAGCCCAGGGGTTAATATTAATTCGGTAATAATTCACCTAGAAAGCTGAGTGGTTTTCAAGACAATTCCAGAATATGGTTGGACTATTTCATTGCAGAAATTACTGGGTGACTTTAATGATGCTTAATTCTTTTCTTCCCTCCGCAGACCTGCTAATCTTATGACAAAAGAGATAATTCCTTGCACAGGCCAGGCAGCTGTTGTTGCCCATTTGATTTATGGACGGGGTGCTTTTGTTTTATAACAAATATGTTTTGTTCTGCCAGAGCGTGTCTGTTGAATCCTATGGAGCTCCAACATTATGCGAGGTTATAAATTTATTAGGATTATAGGATGCAGGCAATTGGAATGGATAATGTTACCTTAGCTTGATTATAAATTTATAAAATCTTCAAAAGTAGAACGGGAGGCTTTGGCGCACAACCAATCGGCTTATGTAACTCACCCAAGGTTGGCGTTAGCTGGTGTTTTAGCTGGCTCCGCCTTTACCCGGACATCATGCTCAGCCACCACAACCGTGAATAAATTACGATTGCCTCTCTATCACATTCTCACTGACCTGGTCTCTCTTCACTTTCTACTCTTCTGCCTGGCGTGTCCCTCGCACCAAATGTTTATGCTACTCATCGACTATAAATGGTATTTGCACAGGTTTCTTTGCCACAAAGCTCCAACACTTTCAGATATTAACATTGGAAACTTCCAATAAATAATGAGTATGCAGTGTTCACGCAAGTTATTTATCTGTATTTTCTCTCCCTTTTCTCCAAAGCATCTTCATCCAAATGCATATCTTTGCTCATTTCCTCCCTCAGGGCCAGAGTCCAGACAATAAGCAGATGGAAGAGGGTTTGCAGTGATATTGGGAGCGCAAAGGTGAACTGCAAGAGACTGATCGGGAGCCCAGAGCTAATAATAGTAGGAGTAGAGCTATTCCTAACCCAAGCCTGTGGTTGCTGGGTCCAAGGAATGACTAAAAAATGGTAGTAGGGTGTCCTTGAGGCGAAAGATGACTATAGACAAGAGACACAGCCTCAAGCACTTTTCCAAAAAGAGATGTAGGGGAGTAAACCTCTGACCTCACTCTCCCTCCTTGTTTATTCTCCTTCCCAGCCCCCCATTGGCCACACCACAGGGGAAGCCACACAAGAGAGGCATTCTTTTTTTCTTTTTCTTTTTTTTTTTTTTAATATATTTTATTGATTTTTACAGAGAGGAAGGGAGAGAGTTAGAGACCTAGAAACATTGATGAGAGGTGAACATCGATCAGCTGTCTCCTGCACATCCTCTACTGGGGATGTGCCCACAACCAATGTGACATGCCCTTGACCAGAATCGAACCCGGGACCTCTTAGTCCACAGGCCGAGGCTCTATCCACTGTGCCAAACTGGTTTTGGCAAGATGGGCATTCTTAATAAAGTACACATAAATCCACCTTCTAAAGCAAAGAACAGGATAGAGGAGGACAAAAATGGCCTTGAACTAACAAAAGGAAAGTACCGTCCTGTCTCAGCATTAGCTCCTTCTCCTGCCCCACCTCGTTGCCATCACCCACTCTTCCTTTCCCCCTTCACTCCACCTCCTTTCCCTTGTCCCACCCCTTTCTTCTGCTCAGCCTCCCTAATTTCTCTAATGGATTTTGTAAATGTCATGTTGAAAAAATATAGTGCAAGAGGCATATTTAATGGTCCATTCCTCCTCCTTCCCCTACTGTAGTTCTGTGAACTGCAGGCTTTAAAAGTGAAGGAACAGCCTGGCCAGTGTGGCTCAGTGGTTGAGCATGAACCTAGGAACCAGGAAGTCACAGTTTGATTCCTGATCAAGGTGAATGCCAGGGTTGCAGGCTTGATCCCCAGTAAGTGGTGTAGAGGAGGCAGCCCGTGACGATTCTCTCTCATCATTGATATTTCTCTCTCTTTTTCCCTCTCCTTTCTTCTTTCTGTAAACAATCCTATCTAATAAAGAGGGAATATGCTAATTGACTGCCATGCCCTCACAAGATGGTGGCACCCACATCCACAAGATGACATTTCTCAGTCCCCTCAGCTCCGCTGGGGTGGGGGACAGCAGGCACCGTGCACCTCATCCAGCTGGAGTCCCCCAGTCCCCTCAGCCCCACCTCATCCAGCCTCAGTTCCCCAATCCCCTCAGCTCCACCTCACCTAGTCCCCACAGCATCTAGCCGCATCCAGCCAGAGTCCCCCCAAACCCCTTAGCCCCACAGGGGAAGGCAATTGGGCCTGCAGGAGAGGGCAGTTGGAGGTAATCGGGCTGGCAGAGGAGGGTAGTTGGGGACGATCATGCAGTAGGAGAGCAGTTAAGGGGCTATCAGGTAGGCAGACAGGCAGGCAGGTGAGGGGTTGAAAGCCAGCAGTTCTGGATTGTGAGATCCCAGATCAGAGAGGGTGCAGGATGGGCTGAGAGGGACACCCCCCATGCACAAATTTTGTGCACCAAGCCTCTAGTAAAAGAGAAAGAAAGGAAGAAGAGAGAGAGAGAGAGAGAGAGAGAGAGAGAGAGAGAGAGAGAGAGAGAGAAAGGAAGAAAACTTTTCATCCCCAATGAAAGCATAGATAAAAAAAGAAAAATAAAAAAAAAAGAAAGGAGAGGGCCATTCTCTTCTTTAAACTGTGTTCAGGCTCTCCTGCCCAAGGGATTGTGGGATAATGTAGCCTGGAGTGTGAGGCTTCTCCTTTATGGTTCATGGTACTCTGAGGAGTCCTGAGGACATTAAAGGAAGAACAGCTCTGGCTCAGTCTGCGTCTATACCATGTGGAGGATCATACTGTTGGCTCACATATTCAGGCATTGTAGACAACAAGTAAACAAATAAATGGACATGGACGCTTACTTTACTTGGGAAGAGCACACTTTATATTTTCATTTTTGCTAAGAATTGAACTGTGCTTTTTTTCCTTGCAGTCAGGCCAGGCAAGAGAAAACAGGCAAAATATTTTGATGGTTTCTAACACACAAACGAATTCTGGCCACTTACATACTGGTGACATTGTAGATTCAACTTTGTATGGTAATGAGAGTAGATTACATTTCACTAGAGAAAAATGTAAGCCTTGGAAAGTCAGAATTATCATGGAGAAATTTATTACAAACAAATTAGCCAGAATACCTTTGTGAAAATGAGATGAAATAAAAAGCATATAATTTATACAGAAAGAGAAAGGCAAGAATTGTACAGCACCCTTCACCCTAGCAACAATAGAGGAGGAGAGGGGGAGCAAGCCTGCTAGGAGGGGGGATACATGGATGGTTGGGTAGATAGAATAAAAGGCAGTTAAAAACAAATGGATATATGGAAACATAGATACATCTTCATTTTATTTTATTTTTTAAAATATATTTTATTGATATTTTACAGAGAGGAGGAAGGGAGAGAGATAGAGAGCTAGAAATGTCCATGAGAGAGAAACATCGACCAGCTGCCTCTTGCACACCCCCTACCGGGGATATGCCCACAACCAATGTACATGCCCTTGACCGGAATCGAACCCAGGATCTTTCAGTCCGCAGACCGACGCTCTACCACTGAGCCAAACCGGTTTCAGCGATACAGCTTCATTTTAATGTTTTAAAAAATATTTTCCCATTTTTATTGAAAGCCAACCAATTAAATCTGAGCTCTGTCTTTTCAAACCCATGGGGCAAAATATCCTATATTTCTCCCTGTTCTTAACGACTGCTTACCAAAATCACAGTCTCCGACTTCAGCTACATCTCTTGCTTAGACTCAGATTTTCAAAAAAGGAGTTTATATTTTCTGGTTTGAATACCTTTAAAGAGTTTATTGCATTGTATAATCTCTCCAGTCCTTTTCAGTGTAAAATTCTAAGGGATTATGGTTTGAATAGCTTTCATATTTACACGTAAAAGGAGGTATGCTTCCTACTTCATCACTTGGTCCAACTATTATTCAGAAAAGAAATGCCTGAATTGGCACTGGGAAATAGTCTTTCAGTTTCTAGCAAATTGAAGCATCTCTTTTGTTTGTACACAAGCTACTGACAGATTTTGGGAGCAATAGGGTTCTTCCTGTAATTTTAACTAAGAAGGGTGTGCAGATCTAAAAAATACTGCTGCTGTTTTACAATGTAAAGGAAGCCTGTTATTTGCCCTGGAAGACTAGGTAGAATCCTCTGACCCAGGTTGTAATTTCCCCATTCCTTTCACACCATAGACCTAATACAAAAGGAAAATAAATTGCTTCTTAATTTTATCAGAGCTTGGTGGACTTTTCAAGACTTTAAATGCATTTAACCTTCTTTCAATTGTAAGATAGAAGCATTTGTTTACATACCTACTTGGCTTAAATTTATAGCAAAATAATGAAATAGCAGCCATACACTTAAACACTAGGAGTAACGCTTTTCTAAATTTTTTTGGCACTCAATTAATGTTTGATGTAATAAATCTCATAAAGTGTCAAGCTTATTTAAAAGAAAATTGTTTTCACTTGAGTAAATATTTGAAATGTAAATACTATCCATCTCTGTTATAATTATTATACTTAACTAAAGCTGCAGGGTTTCCCCTCACCTAATTTAATCCTAGCTATAATCCCACCATTTCAGTACCTATAAGCATTAGTTTACTAATCCTCTGAAAACTCATAACATTTCTCAGGGTGCATGTGCTTATTTCTGAGAAATAATTTTAGCAGAATTTACTAAAAGAAATGTTAGAGCTAGGCATTTTAACAATGTCTGTAAGCTAGGATATGTAGAATAACTATTTCAAGCTCTCCCTTTGCATAGGAGACGTGAGGCAAATTAAAAAAATGTGTACTGCCCTGCTGGTGTTGCTCAGGGGTTGAATTACTGTCCTATGAGCCAGGCGATCACTGTTCTGATCCCTGTCAGAGCACATGCCGGGCTCATAGCCCATCAATGATTCTTTCATCATTTATGTTTATATATATTTCTCTCTCCCTCTCCCTTCCTCTTGAAATCAATAAAAGCATATGTATTTTTAAAAGATACGTGTGCATTTTGAGCTGGAAATAAGGTCATTGTAGCTCATAACAACAGTGGTGAGAGAGGCAATAGGAATATCAGAAGGACAGTAGAATAGCTTCTGACTGCCAGTGGGAAGAATATGGTCAGGGAAGGCCTGGGAAGGCAACCTGTACCTGAGCCATGAACGTCCAGGTGACAGAGGCGATGGGAGAATCTAGTGAGGGACCCCCATTGAGTTAGGGACAGGAGAAGCCTGCGCATAGCTCTGGTGCCTTCTCCTCCCCCACAGCAGGCCTCTCCAGGTATTTGTAAATCTCCACTGCTCCCCTCATCACCACAGCTGCTACCCATTGGTCTCACACAGGCCTCCTTTCCTTCACCCTGAACACTCTAACTCCTGGGTTTGGTTTCAGTACAAATCTGATTAGGCCACTCCTTCATTGTGTAGACACTTAAGGATCTTTCCTTATGTTTAGCACAGTTCACTGAATCCTCCTCATGATTGGCTCACCTCCCCAGCTGCTTATACCCACTGCAGTGCCCCAGTGCCAGTCCTTTCTTCCTCTGAGCCTCCACTCCCTCCCTTCTAAAAGCTGCACTCTCTGCCTGGAGGCCCCACCCTCATCTCAACCCAATCTCTCCTTCCCCCTTCACCCCAGGTGAAACATTCTTCCTTGGAGAAGCATTTCCTAAATCACTCCCTAATGTCACGCACCAGATTCAAATGCCCTTAAACCAGGATTCCATATTCCACTCCATCAGAGGGAAATGAATTACTTCTGCAGTTAATTTAGTAACAGCCATTGCCCTCCCTGGTATGTTAGCTCCTTATGTTATCGGGAACCATTTTGTTCACTGTTGTTTTTATTGAATTTTTTAGAGAGAAAGAAAGGGAGAGGGAGAGACAAAGAGAGAAACATCGATCATTACCTGGGGATCACACTCGCAACCTGGGCATGTGCCCTGGCCTGGAATCAGCCTGGTTTTTAGATGTTCCAACCAGCCAGGGCACGGCTAGGAGTTTTAGTTGTGCTCTTTATAAGTTTCTGATTCTCTATTAGAGAGACTGCCCTAAAAGGAGAGGACCCTTCCATTTGTGATCCTAAGTTCTGTATTGGACTGTACTTTAAATAAGGATAAACACACACACACACACACACTTTTTTTAAATACTGACAATAATAATATATGTAAGTTATAATAGAGCAAGATATTTCTACCTTCTAATTACCTAGAGCCATCTGATTTGTTCACATGATTATGGGATTAGCCTTTATCTCTTTGCCTATCTTTGGCTTTTTTGGCAATTTGATCCATTCCTGTAGAATAGACTTTAAAAGTTAGCATACAGTTTCAGAAAAGGAAAATGCTAGAAACAATAATAACTTGCTACCTAGTGCATTGGGAGCCAAATTTCTTATTAAGTAGGAAAGATGAAGACCACTTTGAAATGCAAAGATTTTATGTAGAATAAAATGTTCACAGTGTAGCAGCCTGTGCGTACTCATTGTATGCCAAGCTCTAAATTAGGCACAGTGGAGAATGTCCATACCTCTGAGAACTTAGAATATGGTTGGGGATTCATAATGCAAACTCATCAACATCCAATTTAGAAGCTCACAGAGAAAAATAATACAGCAAATAGACTTCGCCACCCAAATGGCTAATTAAGGTGAGAACGCGTTTTTGAAGTAAGATTCCTCAGTGGGAGCTTCATAAAGACATGAATTTCAAGTCAGGGACTGTAGGGAGAGAAAAAACGAAATGGATTAGCAGGAAAAACTCCGGGAATGTTTCAGATGAAGATGGAGTTGAATAACTGTTTCTTGGCTCAATGATTATAACTTCTATGCAAAAACAGTTATCCACAGAGACCAATAAAATTGCTTATTTAAGATGATTTTCCTTCTTATTCTGCTTTCAACATTGCAGTTGAAGTCCGGAGAGACGGCTGCCAACATTGCTAGAGAGCTGGCTGAACAAACAAGAAATCATCTGCATGCTGGTGACATCACCTACTCCGTCCGTGCCATGGATCAGCTGGTAGGCCTCCTGGACGTCCAGCTCCGGAACTTGACTCCAGGCGGGAAAGACAGTGCTGCCCGCAGCTTGAACAAGGTAAAGACCTCAGCTATGTCCGCCTTTAAAGCTGCAGGAAAGGCAGTGAGACTTCCTTGGTGCATTGCTCTTTCGGATAAAATCAGATTGTCCTAAAGCGCACTGCTAGTTGCATAGACAATCCAGTTCACTATTTCATTGTAATTATGGCCCTGTTTAGCTTTTAATTCCCCCTCCCAAATAAATAACCTCTCCATATAGATTTTGAATTTACAGTTCTATTTTTTATAATGTTTTGTGCTACACACAAAATCAATAAATGCAATTTATTTTGTTTCTACTTTTTCCTTTCAAATTTTTATATTAATATAATTAACAATAAAACAAATGTCTAATCAAATAGTAGATATGTAGAAAATGGTGACACTGAGAAAGAATGTTAGCAATTCATTACATATATATTTAAAGATCAAATAATTTAATTAAATTAATATTACATTTCAAAACTCATGGGGTAGATAACTAGGTTTTCACTTTTATTTCCTTTTGATATTTTAATGGCATATAACTACCTTAAAACCTAAAAGGTTTATTGTATTTCAGCAAACTTGAATTGTAAATAATGAAAAGAATTCATTTTTTAAACTTCAGAAAACCTATATTTTATATATAAATAAATATATATGTGTACATTGCCTACATATATAGACATTTTATATGTATATTGTATATAACCTATGTGTTGCATAAGCTAAATACTTTATTTACATAAATACATAAAATTTATTTTACAAATTTTAAGGAACATAACTTATGTAACAAAATATCACAGGGTGAATTAACCTCGTGATAAAAGTAATTAGAATTGCTGCTGTCAAATTACTGGTGTTCCTGGACAATATTTGTGTAGTAGAGAAGATCAGATACTGAAAATGGATTTTAAAACCTCGCCTATCATGATAATCTTACTGCTTCAAAAGCAAGAATTTGTCACGGACAGGGTCCTTCATGGAATTCACTAAATGAACATTCTCCTTTAGAATGAAAGGTAACTTTCTCAGCATGGTCTTTAAAATAAACAGATTTAGTTTTTCTTTGTGTCTGGTTCAACGAAGGGTCTCGCCCATTAAGATGGGAGAAAATGTCACAGTAGTGACGGTATGGCATAAGAAAGCCTAAAGACTTGTTTGCAATTTCGGCATCAGAAAAGATACTTTGTTGTATCTTCTAGACACAAATTATTATCAGACTTTTTTTTTTTCATGCTGAGCATAAAGGAATTATTTTTGTCACTTAAATCCATGATAAAATCAAACCAAGCCCCTGGTAGAATATGCTCCACAGTTGCCTGTGTGATCTGGGCATGCTGTGATTTTAATGTGTTATTACCCCGGCTGACTGGTTGCTATTAATGAATATCGCTGCCAGCTATTGTTACCATAATGTACTGCAAGTGGTAGTTTCTATTAATGTTACATATCCATAACATTACTTGTTATAGCGATAGTTTGCATCTTTATTTAAAAATGGTGCTGCTGTCTGACAGTATCAGGTAAAGCTGGCAATTAATGTCATTTTCTAACTGGCTACAGCTAATCAGCTTGCCGCCTCTGAATATCCAATAACGACGTAATGGGCAAATTTCCATCTGGGAAGCTTTTTAATGTGCTCCTTTCCCCCTTCCTCCCCCTCCCCCAATTTGGCTCTTTCCAGTTGTTTATATAATGTGGTCTGTCATATGTTAATTTGCATGGTGGGGTAAGGAGATGGGAGGGCAAAGGTTATTCACATGCTTGCTGTCTTATTTTCATTTCCTATGACTCCCACTGTTCCCTGAGGCAGTGTTAACCCATCATATTTGCAAAGCCAACTCCTTTACAAATTAATTGTGCTCCACCATTGAAATTCTGGAGGGTTTTTCTAGTCCTGCAAAGCTGAGATGCGAGTCAATGATCCAAATGACAGCGCTGGCAATTACGTAGCTCGCACTCATTCCTCACTTAATTCTTTGGAGGAGTAACTGCTCTGTGCTCATGAAGAATGCATGCATTAAAAAGTTCAGTGTTCGCCACACAAAAGGCATCACAGTAACTGCTTCTTAAAACTGAGTAATTTTCTCCACCAACAATCAAGGCTACTGAAGGGGAAAAAAATAGGAAAGAGTAGGGAAACCACAATCTAAATTTGTAAAATGTTGGGTCATTTATTGAAACAGGTCAACTAAGCTTATTAATTATTCTTTTTCGGGGAGGGGGGTAGAGATGTTTGGGACTGAACATGACTTGCTGTTAACCTTTTGGTCAGTAAAACATCCTTGTATATGCAAATAAGTAAACAAACACGGGCTTTTTCTTATCCCACACACAAGATTCCAAAATGTATACATTTTTATTTGGTCAAAACTGTCCAAAGAAACTCTTTAGGAAATAAAAGCAGTGATAAATCAGGATAGTGTTCATATTCTTTTAATCAGAAGTTACTTACCTCTTGGTATATGTCCCTTAGAATCAAATAGTCATAATTGGGCATTTCTATTTTTCAAGTAAACAGAATTTTTTTGTATGTTTGAACACAAAGTTGGTGGTTGCACATTAACCATCTATATAGTCTGTAAACCACAAACAACAACATCCTATCTTTGAAAAATGGGTTCCAAATTTTTGTCACTTAACCTTATGTCTTTATTTGTGGCCCATGAATTAGTAACTAATCTGGTGTGAAGTTAACCATTCACAATGAATGAAGTATGTTGATTTTTACTAATTTCTACTAAATTTATTCCAAGATTTCCTTCCATCATTAACAGCTTTACACCATCCAGTTCTCACTTTGGGCTGTTCTGAAAGGGTGTTGGCCACCATTTTTCAAGCCATGGCTTACACGTTGCTGCTGCTTAGCTTTCATTCCTCTTCTAGGAAGTGGTGCTCAACAAAATAAGGTGTTTTGTGTAGATGTGTTCTTTTATTTTTCTTGTTCCTTCTGTCACTAACTTGTTTTTTCTATTCCGTGTTTAATCTGCTGTCTTATTGGACTCAGCTTCAGAAAAGGGAGCGCTCTTGCAGAGCCTATGTCCAGGTACTTTCTGCGTTTTTATACATGTGTTAAGTTGTTGAATTGTCTCTGTTGGTGGTAGCATGTGTGGGCATCTGAGAGAAAAAATTATAATAAACACTGTTGCATGAAAGGAATTTCAGGGTGGGCACCAAGGGTGGGAAAAGAGACATCACATGAAAAGATATGGCCACGCAAATGCTCCTTCTTACAAGAGACACACAGACAAAGACGGAGGTGCAACTTAGGTTGTGAGAATGTTGATCATCACTCCAGGTGAGTTGGGTGTCATATAGGACTCTAATTTCTTCAGAGAGGTGTATATGAAAACATTTCATGAATGGGCCACCTAATATTTGAGTAGCAAGTCATTCAGAAATAACCATCAAGCCCTAGCAGGTTTGGCTCCATGGATAGAGTGTCAGCCTGCGGACTGAAGGGTCCTGTGTTACATTCCGGCCAAGGGCACATGCCCAGGTTGCAGGCTCCATCCCCAGTAGGGAGCGTGCAGGAGGCAGCCATTCAACGATTCTCTCTCATTATTGATGTTTCTATCTCTTTCTCCTTCTTCCTTCCTCTTTGAAATCAATAAAGATATATATATATATATATATATATATATATATATATATAGCCATCAAAATCATGTAAGGCAATGGATAGTTCAGGATACTTAGAATATCATGCTTCTGTAGCAGAATATTCCACATATGCTGCCATTATTTTACTTTCCCACTCATTGTCAATGTTAATACCAAAATAAACATAATTTTTCATTACTTAACATGTTGTTGTTTATTTTAAGAAAAGTAAAATCCATTCACATATTTTTTTATGAGTTCTGTATGGGAAAAAAAAGAATCCCAGAAACAAGCTTTATATAATAGTTCCTTTTACAAGAAAGGAAAGAAGTCAGGAAGGCAGTGGAGGGGCAGAAAAACATTTCCCTCCTTCCTTTCCAGGTCCTTTGGCTGGGTAATAATTAAATTGACACAAGACGGACTAACAGGAGAAAAAGAATGTTAATTATGCGTGCCTGGAAGCCCCAGGAAGACATATACTAAAAGGCAGCCCCTGCATTGAGGTTTATATGCCATCCTGGGCTGAGGGAAGAGATGGGCCCTAGGGCTTTTTCCAAGGGAACAGTGGAATCTGCAGGAGAATAAGGAGCACAAATGTTTTCCCTGCCATGTAGACAAGTCTTTCAGATTTAAAAAAAAAAAAAAAAAAAAAAAAAGTTATTTCTGTTAATAGCTCTCTTCCTGGTACTGGCTTCTTATCTAAATTCTCTTAGGTAGTTAAGGGAGAGGTCAGATTTTTCCTGAGTGCTAGGTCTTGATTGCTCTGAGCTCAAAATAATCCACATGCCAGTATGAACAACTTGGGGTGGTGTATTCTGTTCCCCTTCATCAGGAAGGAAGAAAATATATGAAACTATGTGCCTATAAACTTTATTCTTTATGTATATGTATCAGAGTATTTTTATTTTTTAATATATTTTTTATTGACTTCAGAGATGGGGGGAGAGAGAGAGAAAGAGAGAGAGAGAGAAACACCCATGATGAAACAGAGTCACTGATCATCTGTCTCCTGCCCACCCCTTAGTGGGGATCCAGCCTGAAATCCAGGCATGTGCCACGACCAGGAATCGAACCATGACCTTCTGGCTCATAGATCGATGTTCAACCATTGAGCCACGCCAGCCAGGCTGTATCATAGCATTTTTAGAGGGGAAGGCCAGTTGCACTTATAAAGAGAGATGCCTCAAGATACAAAGTTGCTGGTACCTATGTTGGCAGTCTAGAAACTAAACCATATCAGTTTATTCACAATGGGGGTGTTTTGTGAGAGAGACATTTAAAAGGAAAAATAATAATAATAATTTGAATATCAAACAAATGCTAGGAAGATAAGCTTTTACTTTATATTTTATAAAATAGTGGATGTCTGTGTATAAGAAACAGCTAAAGGTTTTTTTTTTTTAAGGTTTTGGGAAAGAAAATTGCTTTAGGAGGTTAATACACTGTGTATAAGTACTGTCCTCTTAGTCTGTGTAACAGAGAAATGAAAGTGTTCTTCAGCACTGAAAGCTGAAGATCATTTTGAGCAATTTTTGGATTGGCTTTTATTGCAATCTATGCCGTCTCCTCAATGGGACCTTGGAGATAATTAGCCTTTCAGTATTTAAATCTATGAAATGCATGGTCATTCAAACACAAATCTCTGATGGAAAATTAATAGCACAGTTTATTCAGTGGCTGATTTCCTGGAGTTATAATTGACTGGCTACGGGTAAATGTTTCAGCTATTGACTAAACATCTTGATAAAACCAAATGCACACAGAATATTGGTGAAGCAGAAATGTTGTGCTCATTAATACATGGCATTACTTCTGTTTGTTTTAATGTAGATCATTATTCTATGAATTATAGAGTGAACAATACTTTAAAAATTAGTCTATTTGAATGTTAAAGATTTGTTTGTGTCCCCTATTGTTTCTATGTTCAGAGCATATCCTGAGCTCTCTATAAAATAGATATGAAACACACCTGAAGCAATTTATGTATTAGATTTAAAAATATATCATTGTTTAGTCATTGAAATTCTTAAAAATATGACCTTTCCACCTGTACAAATAATACTCTTCTAGGATTAATTTTGACCATCTAAATCCATTTGGTTTTCAGTTTTTTAGAGGGTCAGTGTCTATTTTATTCATTAGCTAGGTCTGGTATCAGTGGGGAGAGGTCCTCGTCCCCACCGGTTGCTGATAGGTATGAGTAAGGTTCTTGCAGTATCCCAAGAGAAGGAATTTTTTGAACCTTTCATGGGAGGATGAGGTATTGTAGAAAGTTTTACTTCTGTGGAACCAAACCCCTTCATTTCCATGGACCCATTTCCCTTCATTCCCCCAAGGAAAAGCTGTAGCAGAGCTGCAGTCAGAGCCACTGTCCAGAGTTTTCACTTCATGTTAGAGCCGGGCCCAATCCAGCATGAGGCTAGCTTACTAGAGCTTGTGTTCCCCACTGCAGTGCACCAGTCCATTGCATGGAGGGTCTGCAGGACCACATCCCTGTGGAGGGAACATGGGGGCAAATGCAAGGAAGCAGGAACAAGCGAGCCCCACAGACAAAGAGAGTGAATTCCTTTGTTTAGAGCAGTGGTCGGCAAACTCATTAGTCAACTGAGCCAAATATCAACAGTCAACAATTAAAATTTCTTTTGAGAGCCAAAGTTTTTACACTTAAACTTCCTCTAATGCCATTTCTTCACAATAGACTCATCCAGGCCATGGTATTCTGTGGAAGAGCCACATTCAAGGGGCCAAAGAGCTGCACGTAGCTCACAAGCTGCAATTTGCCGACCACTGGTTTAGAGGGTTATATATTCCAAAATACTTGCTGTCTTGCAGTGGCCCTGCCTAATCCGTCCAATCCATGGTCCCAGGATTGTCTGACAGGCAGTTTCCCTGTGTCAGCCTGACTCACTGAGCATGTGCCCATCTTTCACTTTGTCCATGCGCACATGTGCCTGGTTTCCTTCCTTTCTAACTTCCTTTCATTTCTACTTTTCAAAGGAAGAAGATGGCCTATGTATTCTTTAAATTTCAATTTGCAACTATAATGTGCTCATTTTATTTTCATTGGTTTTGTTTGTTTTACCTTAATTATACACTAGAAATCTTTCTCCTAGGTACGTACCAGCAGGGCCAAAACAACCTCTATCTTCACCTGGAAAAATAATCACAAACTAGTTAACAACAAAAATATTCAAGGTTTAATAGGTGAGCACATGTGCCCAGTAACCTTATCGGTACTGGGAATACAGTGCACATAACAACCCTCTCTTTCCTAGGGTAAAATTCTTAGTGGCAGAATATAAACAACACACTAAGTATAAGAAAGATATGGTATATGGCATGACGGTAAATGCTAAGGAGAAAACACAAAGTGTCAGGAGGGGGATTTTTTCCCCTCTATCCTTCTAGGTTCTTTGCTGGTCTAATAATCAATTTAAAAAGATGAGCAGTAGAAAAACAAAAGTTTAATAACATGTATCTGTCCTATATATATGGGAGAAACGAGTAACTCACCAAAATGGCTGAAACTATCACTTTAGATACCATTCTCCACTAAAAGCAATAGGAGAGTCAGTCATGGGAGTAACCAAGAAAAGCACAAGGACAAGGTTTCTATGTAGATTTAAGAAATGGCTTTCTTCATTGCTAAGAGTTTCTAGAGGTTGAGTCATCCTTGTCTTCCTGGTACAGAGAGGGAGACACCTTTACAATAGAGAATTCCTTTATAAATCTAACTGTCTCTTCTACGCAGTTTCCAGAGCTTCTCCTATGTCTGCTATTTCTTTAAAATAACCAGCTTAAAATACTTATGTTAGAGAAATATATTTTGAGTGGCAAATTCTTCTCTTCTACAAAAGCAGGAACTATATCACTGAGGTGATATCTGAGCAAACCTCTAAAGGAGGTGAAGGAGTGAACTATGCAGTTTCTACAGTGTAACTATGCCTGTGGCATTCCATGAGGCCAGTGCAACCAGTGCAGAGTGAAGGAGAAGGTGTATGTCTGGGGTAGCAAGGGCTCGGTCTGGTAGACCACTGCAAGGACTTTAGTTTTTATTCAGAAAAACAATATAAACCACAATATAAACAATATAAAAACAATATAAACCAAGGAGGGATGGCATGACCTGATAAGTTTAAAAAGTGGAGAGTAGATGATAGCAGGAAAATTAAGGGCTGAAACAGGGTGACCAATTGGAGTAGAACATGAGTGTGGGATGTTGAGATAATTATTCACATTCTGGCTTTTGTTGTTGTTTTGTTTTTTGTTTGTTTGTTTTTAATGGGACTAACAGGATTTGCTAAGGGATTATATGTGAAGTGTCAGAGAGAACTTAAAATGATAGAAAATGTTTTGCCTGAATAACTTGAAGGATGAAGCATCATTTATTGAGATGGTCTAATTTGTTATCTGTTGGGCAGGGCACAAACATAATTTTATTTG